AGCCAAGACAACATGGCATGTCTGACCGTAGATCTCATTGCGAAATCTGGAAAACACTTCAAAAAGAGAAGAGGCATCTCTCTTCTGCAATACCTGAAGACCCTCACCCATCTCCACTTTTCCAACAGGAACATTGAGGAGATTGTGAGTGCAGCCGACACCATCACTTATCCTCCGCTTCCGTTTGTCTCCCCAGCTATTCGTTTTAAGTTATTTTTGATTTTTGTTTTAGGGAGATCTGTCCATATGCAGGAACCTCACAGTGCTTTACCTGTTTGAGAATCGCCTAACAAAGATTTGCAGCCTGGACTTTGCCTCCAACCTCACCCATCTGTACCTGCAGAACAACAACATCACTCACATGGATAATCTCTCCAACCTGAAGAAACTCTCCAAACTGTGAGCGCAGACGCTTTTAAATGGATTTACATTCTGTGTCGTGTTCTCAGTTTGAGCTTGAAGGCAATGTGGGTGATTTTCATGCTCACATTATTTTTCCAGGTATCTGAGTAGGAACAGAATTTCAGTGGTGGAGGGTTTGGAGGAGCTCAGCGGACTCAAAGAGCTTCATTTGGAGAATCAGCAGCTGGAGCCAGGGGACCAGTTGCTCTTTGACCCTATGAGCATCCTCGCTCTTGCTGTATGACCTGCATTCCACATCACGCGGTGCAGAAATAGCCACAAAGTTTGCTCCTTTTTTAATGAGTGCCTTTTTTTTTTAACGTGGATACAAAGGAGGCTTAACTGTGAGTCTCTGCAAACTCTGGAAGCTAAACTCAGTGGTTCCGACATATAAATGGCAACAAATCTAGATGCTTCAGAAAACTTACTGTCACAAATCTATGTGATTTTCCAACACATACAGTAACCCTCCAATGTGTTTCTTTTAAGAAAAGCTTTAATTGCATGTCACTTTCAATCTTTCTGTCTTATATATAAGTGCAGGATGATTTGACTTCGAACGTGTTTTAATGCATCAGTAATATGAACTCCTCTCTCCCCACTGACATGATTTCTTTGCACAGGAATCTCTTTGTGTGCTGAATATTAATAACAATAACATTGAGGACATCAAAGACCTGTCGGTGCTGAAGGAACTCGAGCATTTTTCTGCCGCTAAGAACAAGCTGCTTCATATCGACGTAAGTCTTCGATTGTTCATTCTGTCACCTCGACTGTTGGGAGATTATGTGGTAGACCAAAACCGAGGGAGGCGTGAATGTGAAGTGTAAGAAAAATTCATGATTTATTATTTTATATTTTTACATCTTTGTGGAGACATTTTTGCTCAATCTTCTTTAAAAAAATACCTCCAGATAAACCAAACTGAATGGAGAACACAGACTCACAGATTAGAAATAGGATTTGACTAGGTCATTCCAACAAGCGAACATCCTGTATCCACTCATAACGCAGGAATGTCCCAAACTAATCCTAATTTTAATGTCTCTGCCAACACATCTGATTCAAATGGTCTAGTTGCCTCCTCGTTTCGTTTTTCCTTGCACCTTCACATAACCTCTGACCAGATTGCTCCTTCTAGAGAAAAACATCCCCATACCATGATGCTGCCCACACCGTGTTTCTCTCTGGGAATTGTGTGTTTAAGATTATATCCTCTACATAGCATTTGGCAAACTTTCAACACAACTACTTATGACTTTCTTGCAAAAATGGCTTCAAACCTTCAAGTACTCACAAAGCAGCTGGATTCATACTATCTTAATCACAAGGAGATTCTTTTTTTTTTTCTTTTTTAATTTTGAATGCAAATGCTTGCTCTGAATTTTATATAAGGGAATCAGAGGGAAGGGAGCCACCTTCGTGCAAACCATCACCGCCTGTCACATAAAATCTCCGTAGCACGATGGGGTGTAAAATCCTTTGCATGACATGATAGGAAACTATGCAGACGATGTGTATTAAAATCACATTCATTAGCTGACGAAGTTGACTCTGTTATTGCTCGGCAGCTTTCTGCAGCGGTGTGTGAAATGATATGGAGAGCAGGGATGTAGGGAACCAAATCCTGCAAAAACCCTACCAGAGGTTCCCAGTCTGCTCGACGTGCAAAGGATCAAAATTATGCAGCAAATCAGCAAGCTGCTCCCCGGAGACTTTTCTCACTGACAGCTTTTAACAAGCACAAGTTTCTCTCTTTCCTTGAAAGGCTGGGGTTTTTATTTTTTTTCTTCCCAACCGCGAGGATCCAGTGTTTGATATCCTGAACTCAGAGAGTATCACTTAATGAAGATTTGTCTAATACGGTGAAACCCAGAATTGATTTGCAAACCAAAGAGGCCGATTTAAAAACTCCACAATTCTGACAGCACTTTGCAAGCATTTTATAATCGACTTATCCTTCTTTAATGCAAATAAGTTCCTGTTTTTGACCATCGACCCAGGTAACTCTAGTGTACATGTCACTCCCAGCAGATATTTCCTATAATTTATGCAACCCGTCTACCCTCTATTGATCCTGCAAAGACAGCTCTCTAAAGGATCAATTTCTTTTTCTGCAACATTTGGTGAAAATCCCGAGGAAACATTATGGATTTTTTAAAAATAGATTATGACAGCCAGTCAGCCGGGGTGACAAATGGGGAGCCTCTTCGGAGGCTGTTAGCCGCGCACGGGGCAGAGAGGACAGAGGAATCGAAGCGCTGGTCAAACGTGGGTTCATAACTGGGCCCATCAACCGTAGCGAGTCTCCAGCCTGCGTTGCTCCACACGCCCCCCCCGCGCTGGGGGGCAATTTGGCGCTGGGCTCCTCTTCAGCGAGGACCTTCTGAGTGACGGCCCTGACACGATCATTTATCAAAACCTGGGAGCGCACGGTGCTCAAGGGGTCCCCTCTGAACTGATTGCAGCTCGGGCTGGAAAAGTGGAAGCGCTTTGGCCAAGACAGGAAGGCAATGAACAATCAGAGCGTGTCCAGAGAGTATTCATATTTCCAGGCTTGGATTAATGTGCCTTTAGATAAACATACAACTGCAGGCAAGTCGCTGGAGGAGCCAGCCTCGCATCGCCCCCAGGAGGAAACTCAAGAGTTACATGACACCGGCGACACTGTTTATTAAAACAGACTGATGTGTTGTTTATGCCTTTTTCTATTGGCCCTTGTACCTCACACTAACCTTCACTTTTACCGCTTCTTTGGCGCTTAATCATGCGTTTGTCTCTGATTTGCCATCCCACTGCAGACAAGCGTTAATTTGTTCAAAGTAAAGTCGAAACGATTTCCTCTTTAGTTTCCAGGCGTCACAGTAAAGACGCCGATACTCCCACTTGAATCAGGAGTGATTAAAACACAGCACCTTAATTTGATATTTTTTCTGTTTTGAAGGAGCTGGAGGACGTGTTCAAGCTCTGGTCTAAGCTGCTCATATTGGATTTGAGTGGAAATCCTGTGTGTAAACAACGAAAGTACAGAGATCGCCTTATAGTTGCGTGCCAAAAACTTGGTAAGTGTTATTAATTGTCCTCTCGAGCAACAGAAATACACTTAAGTGCTTTACTCCACCTGTTTTAATATTTTTTAAAAAAATCACACGTACAAAAACAGTAAATGCTTTCTCTTTCAATTATACGTTTGTTTACACAGGCACTCTTGATGGTAAAGACATTAACGAGATAACCAGGCAATTCCTTGTTAACTGGAAAGCGGCAAAAGAAAGCAAAAAGAGAAAAAACAAGAATGAAATGTTGACTTGGCCCGTGGATGTTCATCCTCCCACAAGTGAGTCCCGCCTTATCCTATTGAATCAATTACTATTGTTTACTTATCATTGGATTTCCGGAGGGTAGTCAGTCAGATTTTTTTTTTTTTGTCAGTTTTTGATGTCTTTTTTTTTTTTTTCTTTTGTGGCTGCAATCCAAAACAACCTCCCTAATCCACACTGTTCACGTTCTTTACGATTCAGAAAACAGAGAAACCCAAATGAAAGTTGCATGTTAGGCTCTCTGGGTCATCATTGCTTTCTTCATTCTGCATGTGTTCGGACACGTCAGAATTTCTCCAGTGCATGTGAGCTTGTTTGTGTTGCAGACAACTTTGGGTTCGGAGAGCCAGAGTCAAGTCAGAGTTCACATCCTCTTCGGATCTACCAGCCCGGCGACACGCATAGCGGGGAGCCACAGGAGCCTCTTCAGTCCTTTATGCCGGTTGAAAGCCAGCCTATAAGTCCATTTTCTGAGGTCTTGAGTCTGAAGTCCTGAGAATCCCTGCTATCTTCAGATTCCAACACGGCGCGGCCCTGTTTTGTCTAAACACCTTTCATCTTTAAGCCAGATATTCTGTAGCTGCAGTGGATGAAATTCATGGCATATCCTCTAATGATTTGATTTTACCAGCTGACTGGATTAACGACCTGGGAAAGAGTAATGAGTAAAACAGCAGTTCTTCTTCTTCTAGATTTTTAGTTAACGTACAAATAAATCATTTGCAACTCATGCTGTTCCTTGCGTTGGTGTATTTTCTCTCTCTCTCTCTCTCTCTCTTCAAAATGCTTTTTAGTTAAATGAGTGAGCCATTGGATGAAATGTGGCACAATCTAAATGATCCGCCTGCCCTATTATTACAAGTCCTAAGCTAACAACACATGCTTCTATTCAAACAAGTCTGATGAATGATCTGAAACAATGAGGATGTATTTATTGTCATCTGAACGGCGTTTTAGGAGCCACGTGGCCGGGTAACCCCTGTAAGATGCGGGGTAATTAGGGGAACAAGCTTACTTAACCTTTTAAAAGTCCAACTCATAATTAGTGGCCCGGAGCACCGCTGTTACCCCATCCTTATAAAAACAACGTTTATTGAGGCCAGTCTGAGAATATACATAATATGAATAATTCCTTTCATTAATTCGCCGACATCTCCGTTTGGAGCCCGGGAAATCAGAGTGATTAATTTATGAGTCTTGCAAGAATTTCCTAAAGGCCCGCCTGTTGATTGCAGCGCCGGACTTTATTTATTAGTCGTTCCAATGAGCTTGCAACTCAAGACAGCCTGGCAATTCGTCAAAAAAGCAGCTTTATTTTATATCATCTTACACTTGTCTGTTTGTTTTCCTGAACAGTTGCAAACAGCAGTTTACTTGCATTTAAATCTGACTAAGAGGAGCTTCTTCTTTTTTATTATTATTATTATTATTTGTCGTTGGAATGACGATCTAAATTTCTTCCCGATGTAACTTTTTGATAGGCTCCCCCCAGCAGAAAGTAAACCACAGCGTCAAGTTCGCAGCCAATTACAGAGGGTTACGGCCGTCCGAGTTAAAAGCAAAGGAGAACCCTGCCTCTGGCGGTGAAAACAAGACCCCCAGACAGAAAAAAGTTCGGCGACGAGCAGGGCTTCTCCGCTGTGAGGGGGAGCTATAGGCTATGGGCAGAGTGATTAATTACGCCGGAGAGAGAACTTGTGCCGCGTGTTTCCAATAAATTAGGAGCGCCGGAGACTTTTACGCACACAGGTGAGGAGTTGGATGCGCGCATTTTGAGGATACAGCTCGAGGAAGGACTGCGCAATCAGAAGGCCACTTCGGACTGTATTCATGACGTTTATCAAAACAGCGTTTTGGATAAATACCAGAGGTAAAAATCCACCTAGAGACATGCAGTTATGTGGTCAAAAATCATGCTGAAAAAGGGGATCAAAAAGTAATCGGAGAATATTTGGATGTCTGTAAAAAAAATGTCTATTTCATTTGTCAGGTTTGTCCATTTAATTTGCTTTAGTATTTGCACAAACAAAATCGGAGAAACATGTAAACACCATTTTAAGTTAGTTTATTGCGGAATCTAAACTTTAACAGTCGCGAGAAATAATAAATAGTTCGAATAAATAAGCCAAGTTGTGTCTTGCATCAATAAATACTATTATTTGTCTGCTATTAAATCTACAGATTTGTAATACCCATATGGTTGGAAGTGAGGCGCTTCAAATGGACGGTGGTAATTGCTCCAGCTCGGTGGTGGATGTGGATGACAGCCCGGTTTCCAGTCCCAGCTCCAGCCCCAGTCCGGACGGCCGCCGTCGCGGTGAGCTGCACCGGCCCAGGGCGCTGCAGACCGGCGCGCTCGGCGGCAGAGGACGCCCGGCGGCGGCCAACGCGGCGCGGGAGAGGAGCCGGGTGCAGACGCTGAGGAACGCGTTCTTGGAGCTCCAGAGGACTTTACCGTCGGTGCCGCCGGATACCAAGCTGTCCAAACTCGACGTGTTGATACTAGCCACCACCTATATTGCCCATTTGACTCGAACACTGCAGGAGGAAGGCGCAGATGAAGGGGAGAGCACAAAACAAACAGAAGCGTTACACTCGCTGAAAGGTGAAGGATACCTGCACCCTGTAAAGGTCAGTGTTATTAATCATCATCATCATCATCATCATCATAAAGCTGGAACATAACTCTGATGTTTTTGTCAAAATTGATGAACAGTAGTATATCAGTTATTATTTTTATTATTATTTATTTATTTATTTATTTATTTTTTGTTAAAACGTAAACTTATATTAGATTAAAATTGCTTTTACAGAAATGGCCAATGCGATCCAGATTGTACGTCGGAGCATCTGGACAGTTCCTGAACAATCCTTCCGACTCAGAGAATCAAGGCCCGTCGTCCTCCTCCTCTCAATAGGCCTACATGAGTTGTAGCCATGAAAGCGACATGAAATTTGCATGAGCTCCAAAAAAAGTAAACAAACGAAAAAAAACCAAAAAAAAACTGTCCTTCCACTGCAGCTCGAAGACGATGTAAATTAATATATTGCGTGAATTTTACTGTATATAACTGTCGAACAAAATACGCATGTATTTTCTTGTTGGTTAGTTTATGTGTGCACCATGCAGCTCCACGCATGTCCCGTGTCTTGATCTCTGCAGAAATTCCGTGGAGCCGTCATGCTTGAGCGTGCACTTTGACTTGAGACATTTGCACTAAATGCATGTGTGAATAACTTAGCATCTGTCATGTGAAGTGGTCTGTCAGAGGGCCAACAATGGAGGCTCTTTATCTCATGTTTCTTCTTTTTACATGCACGGCTGTAAATGTGTGTTTTTGTGAATAAATTACAAAAGAATGCAAGAAGACAAGACTTCGAAGAATTTAAAAAAAGCACAGTTGACTAATTTGATCCATAATTTATTATGTTAACTTGTACATTAATTTTTTTTTTTTTTTTTTTTTTTTACAAATGCTCTTTTTACAGGATATAGGCAATTACATTATTTAATAGTCTAAAACAGCTTTGGTGATATGTCAGAAAATATATCCTGCCATTAGGTAAGTATAAAAATGTTTTGAGTAGCGTCAGTAATTAATAGCAGAAATAGATTAAAGGAAAATGTAAAATAAAACCATTTTATCCCGAACATCTATATCTGAATCGCTTTAAACACCTAGGGTATGAAAAGAAAAACCGTTAATAAAATAATCACGTGATATTGAGCATAAATAATTATGCTGGAGTTTAAAACATTAACAAACAGAATAAGCTGTCTAGTATACTTGTTCTGAAGTCGCAATTTAAAAACTTTGCAAAACCACAATTTTGGAGATAATTGCAACAAATGTCTGAATTTTATTATTATTATTATTATTATTATTATTATTATTATTATTATTATTACGGCACTTTTAGATGCAAGAATTGACTATGATGATGCCAATGTCTTTTAAAAAAAAAAACATGCATGATCCATTGTTTAATTGTTTTGCACAATGATGTTTTCAGATGTGTATAAAGTTAAGGTAAAATGACAAGAAACACATGTTTTACCGCTTAAATACACAACTTGGGTTTACTTGCTTGACAATTCATTCGTACCAGATATGAACTGCAGCTGTATTTTATGTATTATTATAGTGGTTTAAATGTTCAGCGTTTACAGTCCGCGGCGGTCCCTTCTGCTGCGCGTCTCGATGCAGTGCGCAGCTCTGACGCGCAGGAAGGAACAGACAGAGCGGAAGAAGTCCCACTCAGCGCCGAGAATTTCACCAAAGCATTCCTACCAGCAGACCGCCGTTTATTTGTACTAATACTGATCCGTTTAGGTAAGCAGAAGTGAGTTTATGTGTGTGCCTGTCTTTATTTGTTCCAAATGTAGTAAGTGGTGTCGTTTATTATGTGGCTGTTAGCCCCTGAATGTGTAGTTAGCATAGATAGCACGTTATCCACGTGGTCAAGGGTCGTTTTTCCTCTTTGCTTGCACATCTACTCGTAAAAAGTCGATGTTCTTGTTTCCATCTAAAACAAAAATGTGATAACTCGGATTATTTCAGCAATCCGGTACGATTTACACTTTTTTTTAAAAAAGAAGTCTGGATTGCAAAGTCCATGCGGTTTGTGTAAGACGTGAATGGGGACTTAAACAAAAATGCTATTTTGGATCAGATAATCCTGCACATTAAAATCAAGTCAAGGGTGAATATTTTTGTTGAAAACTACGCCTGTGGCAGTAAGAGGTGAACCACCACTCCCTCCCAGCGTGTCCATGCGCCCTGATAAGAGAACTAGGGCTTTCCCTGAAGGACAACAATAAATCATCTTTTTCGACACCTGAAAGGAGGAAACATGTCCCCTGTTGTCCATATCTTAATTAGAGTAGAGATCCACTGGTCAGAAAGTCATAACAGAGGAGGTAAGGTCATTTTAAAGGTTATGACCTGCTGTTGAACCTGTCCTCAGATTAGCCATGTTAGCTGTGCTCCCAAGCTGTGGCCGGCTGTACCCTCTGACCTTCAGGTGATCAGTCATCTATCCTCACTCTAGTGCCTCCTCATTCAGTAGATTTCATTCATCCAAGCACATGATGCGCCTGACGAGGATAACTCTTGCAAAATGGAAAACTTTGTGCACCAACCTTCTCCATTCTGGTGTTATTTCAGATCCCATCAGTCTTCACCATGTGGCCATAAGGTGAGTTTATAACAGCTCCCTGTTGTTGTCCTGACTACTGTTGCTGTAGTGATGAGTTCACCCTTTGCCGTTTACCCATCAGACAATAAAATGGTGATAATGTGACGAACTGAAACGCCAGCGTAATAAAAAGCCATTTCTGATGAGGGTGCATTTTCGTTTATAAAGATAATTACTGTTTAATTTTCCTCCAATAATTCAGATTTGTTGATGATCAGAGATGCAACCAATTACCTGCTTCCAGATTGAGGTGAGTAATCTTATGTGATTTCCTTTGATAGTTACACAAATATTAATTAAATATGACAAGCTAACTTTTAAAGCATCGTAATGAGGTCAGAAATGTTGAGGTTTGCTTTGTAAAGAAGGAAAAGTTTAAAAAGTAGTATAATTCACAACTGGAATAGTGACGAGTTCATCTTTTCGCCGTTTACCCATCAGACTTTAGAGTGGTGAGATGGTGACGACTGAATTTCCAGCCTCAGTTTCACCTGCAGTCTTCCTTCAGTGTCTTATTTGGAGAAAGACAAATATTTTTGTTGCTTACTTTTTCCAATATTCTCTACATTTTTGCAGGTGATTGGTTGCAGCTTTTTGTAAATGCTGGTAAGTCAATATTGCATTTATCCGGCAGGCTTACAGTTCGAGTTGTAATGATGAGTTCCACTTTTCGCCGTTTACCCATCAGACTTAAACGGAGTGCTGAAAATGTGACAAACTGAACTAGAGATGTTCTTACCTTCTACTTAAATGATTGCTTTCATTTTTAACTCATTTTCTGATTATTTTTGCCAGGTGTCTGGAACCGGTTGAGTGAGTACACATTTGTGAAAGAGTGGGTCGCTGTCGGGAGCTCAGTGAATTCCAGCGTGGAACTGCGATAGGATGCAACAAATCCAATCGTGAAATTTCCTCGCTCCTAAATATTAAGCAGTCAACTGCCAGCCTTGTTGTAAGAAAATGGAGGCGTTTGGGAACGACGACGACTCTGAACACCTTTGGGATGAATTAGAGCAGAGACTGAGCGCCAGACCTTCTCGTCCAAATGTGCTTCTGGAGTAAAGGTCAAAAATTCCCATAAACGCACTCATGAACCTTCCAAAAAGAGGTGGAGCTGTTTTAGCTGCAAAGGGAGGACCGCCATTGAATCCTATGGATTAGGAATGGGATGTCACTTAAACTCATATGTGAGTCAAGACAGGTGAGCCAATAGTTTTGGCAATATAGTGTATTACAATTCTGTAAGTTTAATTTAAGGCAACTGTTAAATTGATACTCATGTTGTTTCTTATTTTATAGTTTGTGTGAAAATGCATGCTTCTATTTGCTTTTCACTTTGCTGCTGCAGGACAATAAAGTACATTTCTATTTCTAAAATGCTTATTTTTTTGTCTTTTAACTCACATTTATGTTATAAGTAATAAACTTTCTAAATCTAAATTGCTGCAGAATGTGTGACTTGTGTTGCTTTTTCCTTCCTACCTTACTGAATATTTTGAGAGATGTTACTCCTCTGTAATATACGCATCGGCTCCTGGCGCAAATGTATAGACAAAGCGTAAGATAATCTGGTGAAGCTCGTCCAGAGCGGCGTCTCTCCTTTGTAGACCGTCCACATCTTCCAAGTTGCAAGGAAAAACTGCGTCAGGGGGGATAACGAGGGCAGAGGCCCCTGGAGGAGACACCAGTACAGGAGAAAGACTAAGTGTACAATAATAATGTATCATGGATAAGTCATCAGTCTCAAAATATTTTTGTCTCAAATCTTTAAAACAATCCATCTGAAGGGTGATTATTTTTCAGGGAGTCTACATTGAAAGGATTGAAGTCTATCTTAAACATACAGATATATATTAATGGTGTAAATGGTGAAGCTGCATCTAGTCAAAATAAACTTAGTAATTAAACGTTATCAACTGCAAAGATAAACTGCATGATATTTAAAGGCAATAATAAAGGTACAGGCTTTATTTAGATAATGAAAGATTTAATGGCACCTAGTGGTCTCTGAAAATGTATTAATGTATTTTGTTCATAATGGTGATTTCTAAATACCCGGCCTAACTTTGAGGATGGTTAAAAAAAAAAAACGAGTTCACCAGAGTAAGGCCAAACAGGTTCTGATATCTGAAAACATCCTGATAAGACATCCTGTCACCTCTCAGTTAATCGGACCGGGTCCTCGGCTCACTGGACCGAGAATCTCTGCACGTTTACTGGACCCAACCTCAAGGTTGTCTCTCCAGGAAGACTCTGGATGTGTTCAAAGCTCGGCTCAGTAATTATTATTTATTTCACAACCAAATTCTAAGTAATAATAAATAATAAAAAAAAACGTGTCTTTCTAAAGGATTAAAGATGTCAATGAATAAACGAAATGATGGAATTGGTTCCAGAGGTCATCGTGTTGCCATTTCTTCCTGTCTCTGTGCCCTCTGACTCAGCTCTCAGAAACACAAAGGAGACTTTTTTTTTTTTTTGCCACATGGCAGATTGTCATTGGTTAGGAATATTCTACTTTTGCAAAAACGCTTGCCTCTATTGGTAAAAGATGCACAGGCTACAGGGAAAACCGAAGTGGCCCTTATGCCACTCCTGAACCAGGAGTGGCATATGTGGTTAAACGTCCTTTTTTTTTTTTTTTTTCAGATGAAAAATCAAGTTTTCAGTTTATGGAGGAACAGAGGAGAGGCACAGAATCTTCTTTAAGATCAAGTCAGAAGTTTTCAGTGTTGTTTCTATGATTATTTGTTGTTGAATGTCAGAGCAGCCGAGCACTTTTTAGGGCAGGTTATGCTTTTAACATTGTTCAAATTACCAATGATATCAATAAGCTTGATTGGCCAGCAAACCAAACCCGACAGTAAATCAAATTTGTCAGTCGCAAGTAAGATGTAGAAGATCTGACGGATGCTATTAAAGCAACCCCAACTATATGCTGCACTGCATCCCAACATATCTGTTTATGTAATACTTTTATCAGTATTTTTGTCATAATTTATTCATTTTTAGCTGTAAGCCACAATCGTATAAATTACCAGATTCAATGCACAATACATTGAATCTAATCCATCAGCTGGTATAACTCACTCCTACATGATGATGTAAATATGAAACTGCAAATAAAAAAAACTACTACCATGCTTGAGAGTGACAGAGTTTTCACACAGCAGCACAGCGATCACCGCGTCTTCCTCCACCACTTTAGTCCTGAGGCAGAGCTTGCAGTGAGCCTCGGCCAAAGAGATCCTGTGACCAAACAAAAAGCGAGGAACGAGACCTGCTACATGACAACATTTATGCCGGGTGACGTTTTGAAATTAAAAGTGTATAGTTTAGGATTTAAATGAATGAATCAAAGCTGATAGAGGGCGTGAGCAACAAATATGTTCAGATTAAGAGTGTGGCTTGCTTCTCCCTTCTACTTACTGAAAACAGATTTGTTTTCATAAGTTTTAGCTCCACATAAAAGTGTCACCACAGTGGAAGAGATTTGTAAACAGTTGTCATAATCCAGTGAAAAATGGAGGGGCAAAGGTTTGAACTTGGATGCCATCTAGTGGCAGGTGGCAAAAATACACTGGAAAGCATCGTTTCTTGGTGTGTGGGGGTGGGGGGCTGGGGGGGAATGTGACATCAAGAGTAAAGCAATGCCAGAGTGCTTACAGCAGTTTGATGGAGGCCAAAGAAATCTTGACTCCCTGACTCCGAGTGCGAGCTCGACGGCTCGCCATGTAGTAACCGTGGATCAGTTTCTTTGCTTCGGGGCTGAGCTCCACTTGCAAGCCACGAGAACGAGCCACCAGCTGAAAAAAAAACAAAAAACAAACGCTTAGAAAATAAAGATAAAATAAACAAATCAATGAAAAGAGCATTGCGACAGAACGTGTTTGCAAACCTCCTGGTAGTCTTCAGTGGAAAACTCCCAGCAGGATGGATGAGGGTGACTTCCAGGCTGCACAGCCTGCTGGAGGGTGTGGAGCGCCTGGGCGACCGCGCCCCGCTCTCCCACCCTGTCTCCACACTGAATGACGAGGCCAAAGGTTTCCGCTAGCTGGGCCGGCACAGGACCCGTTTCCTGCTCGCAATAAAAGCAAAACGGAATCCGATCTCAACGGTGCTGCTGTCAAAACGTAATTATCGCCAACAATTTATCTATAGGCGAAGAAATTATATCTTAAACTTAAAGCTATCCCTGAATTTTGCACGTTTTGTTTATTTCGTCACATCTTCATTTTCTGACTTTTTAAGATTACTTTTCCTCTGACTCAAATTTTCAAATTTTTTTTAAAGATTATAATAAAAAGTTTAGAATAGTCATTTTCTGTTATTTGCATGTTCTACAAATCATGAAACAAGTCAGCTTCTTATTTATAAGTTTAATAAAAGCGTATTTGGTTTAAATACACAGTAAGTACCTGTGGAAAAAAAAATCTAGTGATTTTTTTTTTAGAAATTGAGTTTTGCCTTTCATTTAATAGAATAAGAAATAAAGTCTTGAAACTCAAAATATTCTCCATACCTAGACCTAGAAAATGATAAATGTGGTTTCCATATTTATCCAGTCTTCACTTTTTAAGATAACTAAGCTGCTCAAGTTTCCTTTTTGTGCCATCACGTCATGGAAATAACCTCTGAATTCAGTAAAACTCCAAAGAAATTATGTTGTCCAGACATCTTGTTGCGTGACATTATGTTGCGACAGCACTCACTGCAGTTCCCAGTACAGCTGAGTCCGCCCTCCCAGAGCGCTGAGAGGAGTCTGTGAGAGCCCAGAAGTTGCACTGGACTGGAAAGGAAAGCTGCTGGTCAGCTTCCTCTCCGTACTTCTTCCCAGGGATGAACACAGACACAGAGCGGCTCTCCAGAACTGACAAAATAAAGACATGCACTCCTAAACCTACGTCACAAAAAATGCTGCTCTTACCGAACCAGGAGGAGGGGGCAAACCTGACTGAATGTAGTCCAGTTTGTCCTTTCTGTAAAAGCTAAGATCTCCCAGCATGCAAATGCCCCCAGAGGCGAGCAGTGCAGAGCCAGCGTGGATGTTGGCGGTTCCTGCTCCCCGTTCGTCTCGGGACAGAGAGGCAAACATCTCAGCGGAGGCCTGATGTCTGACCCCGCGACACGCCAGACTCAAACTGTACGCCATTAGTCTAGCACGAAAAGGAGGAGAGGATCATCGGAGTCAAGCTTTGTTTACATTTGATGGCATCACGGTCGCTCACCGACATTGTTTTACCTGTCTAACACGAGTGTGTCAGCCGTGACCACCAGGAGATCCAAACTGGGATCGTCTGCATCGGTTCGGGTCTGCACCAAGCTGAGCAGCAGACACAGTTTAAGTGTGTTGTACAAGCCGGGAGGAGTCAGGTCCAGCCCAAAGCAGTGAGCGACGATGGCGGGGAACCTCCAGGGAGAAGGAGCCACGCGCTCCGACAGCTCCAGAAATCTGGGGGACTCTTTACGGCAGCCTGGAGGCAGAGCTGTGAAACATGACAAATATAGAGAAACAGTGCGATACGCTGACCCCGTGAACTTTTTAACATCCTGTCAGCAGCTGAGGTTGGATAATCTGTTAAGTCAATAACTATGAACATCAACTCCACCAATTAGGCCTTCATGGAGGAGCAGCAGGAAGAAAACCACGAGTGATCTCAAACACAAACAGTAAGGAACAAAGAACGGCTTGAAAAACGTAACATTTTGTGGAAGGTTGGGGTTGTACAGAGGTGTGCAGTGTAGCATGCCTGTAGTTTTACACAAGTATAAGTAAAAAAAATGTCCATCCAAAAAATGAAAATAAAGCAAATTATGCCAATTCTGAAATTAAAAACTAAAATATGACCTAATGCGAATAAAGCACAAAATAAGGCAGAAGAAACTCATGTTAAGCACAGTCGCTGCCCAACCTCTATTTGAATCACAACAAAAAAAGTTCAACGGATTCATGTTAATCCTGCTCGACGTGTGCGAAGATTCCTCTGATCCTGTCTCTATAATCTACAGGTCCGAGCTTTAACTCTGGTGTTGATTTTGAGATTCTTTCTGCCTTACGTTGCGGCTCCCACGGCTGAACGCTGTTTGCCTCCACGCTCCAGGTAATGCTCGGCCACTGATGCACAAGCACAGGGATGCCTACCACCCTGTAGAGTCGACCGATTGTCATCGAGTGGCACAGTTCGTCTGCATGAGGAGAGGGAAAACAAAGCAATAACACTCTACGGGGTCTCCATTAAAACGACATGGCGCACTAATAACAACCCCGCCAAGAGAAACAAAGCGAGGCGCTCAGGACAAAGATGTCTCTGTGAGCAACCAGCACGGCTAGCTAATGACTGTTCCTTGCTCTTATTAACATATGTGTTTAGTAACAGGAACCGCCTGTATTGGGTTCCTCCACATGACTGGGTCAACAGAATATGTTAATCCAGTTGCTGCTGAGATCTGCTGAGCTCTCATGGGTTCTGGCAGGACGACGTTATTAGAAGGGGCAGAAACACTTAATATCACAGCGTGGGACGGTCGGCGGCACAAAAACCTATTTACATGAACTCACTCTTTCTACTGTTGTGCTGCAGAATGATTTCATCTAGTGTTTTTTTTTTTAGCTAATATCTTGTACATGGAGATGGAGCTGAGCAGCTTTTTGGCATTGAAATTATGGTCCCTTGATTATACGTCACTAATCCAATGGGGTGGGTCAGAGCTGTATCTCTTAACAGCTAGCTGAGCTAACCAGCAAACTCTTCGACAGGCGATCAAAGAAACATAATTTGATTGGCTAAAATCTGCTTGACTTGATGTAACGCTGATTGCTTTCATTCTGTGGCAACAACACTATTAAATGTGGACAGATTTAGCAGTGTGAATACTTCTATAAAGACACGTGTGCATCGTTCGGAAAACAGCAAGGTCGCTAAAGACTTGCCTCTGAGAAACAGAGTGACAGATTGGTATCTGAAAGAGCTCTGCCGTCGGCCTCTCAGGACATCCAACGCTTCGACATGGATCAGCTCCACCAGCTGTTTGTCTGTTCCCAGAAAACTGATTAGATTAAACACGTACGCACGACGACGCATTCTATAAGTCGCCTGACACTGGTAAGAAAGCGTCTCACCTCCTAATACTCTAAACTTCACATCCTCCTTCAGCTGGGAGCTGCAGATCATGCAGCTGAAGTCATTTCTCACCGTGGCTGACTCGGTGGCTCCAGGTGCATGGACCCGGATGTGGTGGAACCCTTTAAAAGAAAGAACACAGACAACGAATCCAAACTAAAGGTATATCAACACCCCTCGTCAGAGGAGAGCTTTGCCATAAAACACAAAATTTATGGCGAGTTTGCACAGAAGTTTGAGAGTCGGTAGTTGCTACGATCACATTATTTCTTTCACACATCCTGAACTCTATTAGATGCCAACTGATGAAAACTTTCTCCTGATCTGGTTCTTTGAGTGTCACAGAATAGGTTTAGTTCTGGCATTTAGTGTTTTTTATGCTCCTTAGAAAACCATAAAACATCAGAGGAAACATAACACGATAGAAACTTGAATAAAAATAAAGATGAAGAAGTCTGGCAAATTTGGATCCACACATATGAATAAACTGAAGAGTGGGCTAAAACTTTTAAAAGTACTAAATAGGACAAAGATACACAGATGCGTGTGTTCATCATTTCTTTCTGAAGGTTACCTGTAGAGCCAGGGCAGTCATCATCAGTACAGAGGAATCTTGCCCCCTGGGTGTATTTTGTGACCCTCGTTATGGCAATGACTGCCCCCTCCATGGAGACGGGCCTCATGGGACCGTACACTTGGTGAAAACCGCTAAGGTCCAACGTGTACTCAGGGAATGGAGGAAGATGTGTAAAATTCAGAGAAACATTCACCTCGAATGAAAATAAGAAAAATAAAGTCTGACTTAAAGCACTTTTACTTTATTCACAGCACTTTGTTAAAATATTTATATCCCTTGGACATTCACATATTTAGTTATCTTAAATTCTAGAGATTCTGTGTATTTAATTAATTGTTACATTGTTTAGCTTAAATGCTGAATCGTTCCTTCTGTCTTTTTCTTGACGGAAAGTTGTCAATTTCGCAAAGTGAAGTTCAAAGCAGCTTGATAAATTTGACAATCAGCCAATAAGAAAGGTAAGCATGTCAAATAAAATTTCAAAAAGTTATTTTAACTTATATTTTATAATAATGACTGAAAAACAAATTACATTTTATAAAAAAAAATACAAATTTACTTATTATTAAAAAACGTATTACATTTTTTTAATTTAGCATTTTTTTCCTCATCTTCCCTCCAACTTTCTGAGGCCTCCTTAGGGCCACGTTGTGATCCCCCAGGGGCCCTCACTTCGAAGAACACTGATTTAGGATATTGTTTCATAAACTAACATCCCTTGAGCTTCATTATGTTGTTTCTTCACAAACGCTCTCAAACAAACCTCTGAGGCCTTCAAATAAACTTATCTTGGAACTGAGATTAAATTAACTGGGTACAGACAGGTACTTCTAAGGTTAATTGAATTATTTTATTTTATTTACCGGGTTTACAGTACTGAGGGTGACTAAATATCCAGTCTTATTTTCAGATTTGTATTTATAAAAATAGGCTCTTATTTGGCCTATCGAAAAAAAAAAATTCCAATACGATTTGTGGTTATAATCAGACAAAACGTAAACAAGTCAAAATAGTAATATAAATGTCCAATAAGCTGTAGTGGTGATTACAATTTGGTTATCAATGAGACATAAGAACATTGTCTTCATACCTGACTCGCTGTATGTATTTTGTCAGTAAGTGAAAGTGTTTTTATAGCCAAAAAACACACCTGAATGAAGGAATAAAGGCATAAAGTTAGCCTTACTGCACGGGTTTAATCTCACTTTAGCTAGGTCATCTTGAAGTTTTCACTTACTGACTGAAACAGACCGGTCGCTCTGAGGGGATCATGCAGGACACAGTCCCCTAGTCTAGGATCCATTTCTATTAAATCTGAAGGATTTACAAGAACCCTGAACCTGTAGACTGCCTCGGTCTCCTGGGTGTCTGATGAGGAGGAGCAAAACTTAGTTAGCAACGGTAAATATAGCTTCATGTAGCCTCCAGCTAAATTATTACCGTTTAGAGGTCTGCAGTCGTCCGCAAGTTTCTGAAGACCACCACTTCTGTCTAAATAAACCAGAACTGATTCTTTCAATGATAAAATGTCAGCCATTTGTTTCAAATAATAATAAAAGGAAAATTTAGATAAAAATTTTTGTTCAACACGACGACGAAGTTAGCTTCCGATTCGCGGCTTGCACTGAGTCCAAAGTTGGGCTCGGGAACCCACCGGGGGTCACAAGTATGAACGCTTGGGGTCGTAAAGGCCTCTTCAGAAATTAACCTAATATCAGTAATAATTATGAGAAAGCATATCGAGTTTAGTGATGTTGTAAAAAGAGAAACAAAAAAGATTGGAAAATAAATAAAACCAACATTTTGACCTACTGGCCAAGCTAGCCTACAGGATAGTTAATTATGTTTTTGTACCAGTTTTAACTGACTTGTTTGAAATGCTTGTGCTCATGCCTGTACTCATTGCTTGAATAGGTTAATAGTCCTTTGGTGGCACTAATGTAGAGTTGTGTGTCCCTTGCATAGCTACTTATCTTCGATATTAAATAGAAGAGACTCCTGGTTGGCACCCTGAGGAATCCCAAATGTGCTTTTTCTCAACTTCTAAAATGTGCAAGGTGTTTCAGTATCAATATTTTTGTTTCCTTTTCAAAAATGTTTTTCAGGATCCCCTTTTTAACCGACCGTGTCTCATTTTCAGTCACATCTGCATATGAATATATAAACTAAAAAATATTACATCAGCAGCTAAAAATACTAATAAACACACAATATAAACTTTTGCTTTGGTTTTTTTAATCATTACTGCAGAAGTACAGGTCAGCTGAAGACAAGTATTGTGAATTTCTAATTATATGAACAGATGTGTTGAAGGAAATAAAATCAAAAACAAACAATCCAGTATAAAAGGAAAAAAAAGGAAATTGTTAGGCAACTGAACTAGCATGACAAATAAACCAAAAATGCTTATAATCCACTTGTTCCCCAAGTAGAACCTCCATACAACAAGCATTTGTTTATTATTTTATAAGAATATGGACTAACTCGATAGGATCTTTCTTTGTAAGTACAGTGAACTGTTCAAGTTTTCAAACGCCTGCTTATTGATTTTATTTCAGGGATAATTTTAAGGCTCATTTTTTGTAAAGACCTGAAATCACATTACCAAGTGAGGACATTAGCTGAATTCTAAAATATAGCATCTGTTATATATATATTCATATAAATACAAAACAGGTAAAATATAAAGACTTTCTTCCAATCAATATCTGTTTTAAATGCAGGTTATTCTCTGTTGGTTGCTTTGGCTTCACAGGACAAATAAACCTCTTTGTTCTAACTTTTTTCCCTTTAGTCAAAAAAAAAATGTTACAATTGTTAAGGCAAATGAGGAACCCCACTGGGGACGTTTCATTGGAATGAATCATCAGAAGGCGGGGCATAAGAAAAGCCCAAAAAGGCATCGTCAGCCTCCATAACGCTGGCGTTGACAATGGAGTGTTCTTTAGTCCAGCAGATGGAGTTGGGAACCATCTCCTCTGTGAACTCGGGATCAAAGTTTGCGATATCGCTGGAACAGCTCTGTCAAAACATTCAGAAATTGCATGGCTCAAAACAACAAAATACATGTCTGTATAATGACAGACAGTAGGAAAAAGTGTCTCAGAAATGTTAAGTTACATTTTAAATGCAATGACGGAAAATTTGTCCTGCAAGATACATTGCATTATGAAATGCACAACACTGCATGAGCATAGGAACTGGATTTTTTTTTTTTGCTCAACTGATTTTAAGTAGGCATATGATATTGATTACTTCTATACTGAAAACATATTGTTCTAAACATGTAATCCAATTTTATGCCAAAGTTGCATAAAATTGACAAGACAGTCAAGGCAAATGTAAATAACATATTTACCACATTAGGTGTAAATGGAGGTGGGATCTTTTTCTCTTCAAGATCCTTCCAGTTTATTGATAAGAAGAAATTGTGGGTTTTGATCTCATTCTGAAAAAAAAAAAAAGACATAAACCAGATCATGACTTTCTATTGGTCAAAGGGTTCCTATACATTTGTGAGGTTGACATTTCATACTTTTCCAAACTCACATTTCCAGACCTGCCTCTTTTTCTTGTCTAAATAGGAAGGCTTATAAAGGGACGGACGATGGATGGAAGGATGCAAGGACTGAAGGAACAAAGGAACTGAAGGACAGAAGGAAGATGAGAACAAAGGAAGAAATGGGGGACTGAAAAAAGAAAACAAAGGAACAAAAAAGGAAGGCAAGCATTTGGATAGATGGTTGAAAAATGGATAGAAAGACAGCTTTTAGACAACAGGAAAAGAAATAGAAATATTTCCATACTCTGTTTTCTCCCTCCCCCAATACTCTCTGGGAATAACTTTAATCAAATTCTATACTTTTCCAAACTGTGCAGAAACTCTGTTCCCAGATCAGCCAGCAGAGGGAGCTAAGAACTAAAACAAATTTAATTTTAATTGCTTTGTAGGTTTTGTCTCATTGCAGGAACAAACTTCAGAGTTTATATTGGGCCTGTCAGTTACGGTGAGGGGTCATCATGTGTTAGTAGGTTCACACTTGTTCACACTTGTGCTTATAGCTTATGATAGTCATGTAAACAAAATCTGCTTTAGCTTCTCCACAAGTTGAGCTCTGACCTGCTTGGTAGTTCCTATATAGGCATTTTCTGAAGGCAATTGGTTGCCCTGGATTTTATTTAGGGGTATCAGATTTAAGGAAGCCGAATGAAACAGCATGTGCTACTCTTCAGATTTTTGTTTGCGAAAAACAAAACTTTTACAAATATTTATACACCACTCAATATCATACGTTGACGTTTGTGGTCGTAGGATGAAAATCTGAAAAAGTTTAAGTAAAAAGAACATGTGAATTAACACTCACAAAGTCGTCTCTGGAGCCCAGTCTGTGTGTGCGATCTTTCTCCAGCAGACCCTGAAGGAGAGACCAGGCTGTGGTGGAAGCTCCAGGGCGCATTGCTAGCGGTTTGTGGAGAATGTTGTCATACATCTCATGTGTGTCCCTGCTGTAAAATGGAGGCTAGAGCATAAAAAAAACAAAAAAAACAAATGAACAGCGTTAGCATGCCTGAGTCATTGTGATGATTCAACAGTTTGTGAAGACCGTGAATATAAATGTTCACGTTTGAATGATCGAAACAACTGAAGAGAAACTCACTAAACCAAAGAGCATTTCATACAGCACAGATCCCAGACACCACCAGTCCACGGTGTTATCGTACGGCTGCTTCCTCAGGACTTCTGGAGCCAAATACTGAAGAGCAAAAACACAAATATGACATTTAATTTGATATTTTGTTTTAGTTGACAACGTTTGTGCGGATGCTATCCATTTTCCCTGTCAAAAAGCAACTTAAGCAAATCATTCTTATGTGTTCAACTCAAAGCTTCTGTAAAGGTTGCAGGATATGTAGCAAACATTCACGCTACCTCAGGAGTTCCACAAAATGTAGAGGTGGTATCTGTCTGGGAAATGCCCTCCTTGCACAATCCAAAGTCAGTCAGCACGATATGTCCCTTCAAAGATAAGACGCGGACACTTTTAGACATCGTGCCAAACAAGCACCTCATTATCCCCAGACACTGAGGTCTCCATTGTTGCCAGGAATGCTGCCAGTAAAGTAACCCCGTCAGTCCCATTCACCATGTCCTCGCAGGACACAGTAAGACCTAATCCAATCACATGCATCACCTCCAGATGGAAATTACAAGACATGGTGCACAAATTCCTAGAAAACTGGGGTACAAAGTCTGAGCATGTAAAAAAAACAAAAAAACAAAACTGTCCAACAGAACGACATGCGTGGAATAAATGAAAAATGTAAACATAAACACTCACCTCATGGTCAAGCAGGATATTTTCTGGCTTTAAGTCTCTGGAGGAAAAATAATAACAAATAATTCTTATTAGAAATCAAATATCTGCTTGAAATATAAATTTTTTTAGATCAAGCTTGATCTGCTATACACGGTCTAAAGTTGGAATACACTACGTGGTCAGGCTGTTATCACATCTGAAAGCTGATTTTGCATCTTTTTGAGATAATAATAAAGGGAGTACATGTGTTATTTCTTAATTAAAATGCCTTCGTGGTGAGAACAGAAGAGAAATAAGAAGATATAGACCAGCCAGAATAAACTTCATGTGCCACATACAACATGACGATGCACAAAATATGCTAATAGATGAATGGTGTCACCTGTCAACATTAAAACTGTTTAAATAGCTGTTCATATTGGGATAGTGGACTTAGTTCATTCAAATAATCAGCTCTTTACATCGATTAACTCAACAGAACTAGTTTCCAACGTAACTAGACTGAAAGTATTCATACCTCTTGACCTATTCCACATTTTGTCAAGTTACAAACACAAACTCCAATGCATTTTACCGGGATTTTGCACAATGCACCAACACAAAGTTGTTGTTTTTCTTTATTATTGTAAATTCAGCTCAAGTGGGTTTGTCTGAAACTGAATCGTTCTTCTCAAAGTAGCTCAAGTTCTGTTACGGTGAATGGAGAGCATTGGTACACATCAACATTTAAGCCTTGCAGCAGATTCTCAATTAAATTAGGTCTAAACTGAACGACATGGATGCATTTTGATATAAAATCATTCTGGCTGTATGTTTAGGGTCGTTGTCCTGCTGAAAAGTAAACGTTTGTCCCAGTCTTCAGCCAGAACTGCCTCGTCTTTAGTTTCATGCGTCTTCCAATTAAACATTATTAGCTCCCTTGTTTCTGCTGAACAATAGCATCCCCAGAGCATGATGCCTCCAAGGCCTTGTTTTAAGGTGGGGGATAGTGAGTTATTCTTGCTACTCTTCCATAAAAGATAAGATTTGAAGAATGTACGACCAATTGTTGTGGTGTAAACAGATTTGCCCATCCTGAGCCGTGGCTCTCTGCAGCTCCTTTGGAAGTGGAGCTCCTTGGTTGCTTCTCAGAGTAAATCTTTCCTTTCCTAGCCTGACTGTTTAGATCTTGGCAGGTTTGTCAACATCTTTGCACTTCGGATTAGCCAGGACTTTATCTTTGACATGTCGGCTGTCCTTCTTGGTCTTTAAGATGCTGTTTGTTCTCTAAAAAAAGCTCTAAAGCATCGTAGAACAGCTGTATTTACACTGACAGTCAACTGGTTGTCTAGATTTTATTTAGAAGCTTATAAGTAATAGGGACTAAATGCCATTGCATGCTAGACCTTTCATATTTTCATTAGGAAATCCCATTTCATGTCTTCTGCTCTTCAGCTATGCATTAACCTGTGTTGGTCTTTCACATAAACTCACAACAAACTGACAATATTGTTTAAGTACATTTACAAAATATGTCACAAAACCCCTAACCTTCGGCAAAGCCTGGTTCGGCATACCTGTAAACAATGTAGAGAGAATGCAGATATCCGAGCGCACTTGCCATTTCGGCAATGTAGAACTTTGCTCTCGACTCTGGAAATGTCCGTTCTCTTTGAAGATGAAAGAAAAGCTGAAACGAGAACGTTCCAGTGAATTTTCCCGGGAACACAGCAACATACAGGTTTCATTTTTTTTTTTTTAT